TATATATATATATATGAAAAGTGGTCAGCATTGGACAATACAGACCACAATTACTACATCAACCCATACACAAAAAATGGTCAACATTGGACCTTACCAAACATTACTTCCATACTTAAAAACCTAACACAACTTCCTGCTTACCCCTTATAAACCATCCACGTCAAAATCCCCACCATGACTATTAAAAAGACAAGCAAACCAATCACATCCCTAACAGGAACTAGCATTATTTTTCCCTTTGATTAGGGTTCAGTTATTCCTTTTCCAGTGGTTTTTTTCTTTTTTTTCCATGATTTCATACAAAAGTTCCTTGTACCATGAACTTCACCATCATACCATTTAAAGTAACCATAGTCATCATCCTCCTTGGGGAAGTACCTGCACCAAAAGTATCTCCTACAAGGATTATTCTCACTCTTTGATATCGACATTGGGGTATCTAGTGTAACGCCCGTGTTTCTGGCTAAGCATTATTATGATGATATAATAGTTAGGGTCAACAATTGTAACCTATTTTGAAGTAATGAAGAAAAATTATTTTAGTATTATGTGATTGATATGCAACATATGTGCTTATAACGATATAATAAAATAATAATAAAAATATGCATCAAAAATAGAATGAAAATTAGACCCAATATCTTTGAAGAAATTTGAATTGGTCATGACAAGGATTCCAGAGATATAAAGAACACTGAAATCCGACTTATAACGAAGAAGTTATGACTCGTCGAAGTTTTGTGACTAAACCGGCACGACACCACGTATCGTAAAAAGTGAATTTTTGATAAACTATTTTTTAGCCTTAGCAATCTAAATGAAAGTCGTAGTATACGCTAAACTGAGAACGTACATAAAAAGAAAGACCAAATCTGACTTCGTTAGAGGAAGTTATGATTTTTCTAAGATTTAGCGTAGCAGTACACAGCCTGGAAAATCGAATTTTAGACCGATCGATTTTTAGCCAACACAATCTAAATGAGAATTGAAGATCTCGTTAATAGGAGCTCAACGATATAAAGACAGTCGAAAACGGCTGTCAGATGACAAATTTATGAATTTTTAACGGACTTTAACTTTTTAAGCTTGTTAAAATATAACTTTAAAAAATAAAGTCAAAATTAACCGACAAAGTTTAAACGAAAGTTGTAGATCACATCGCTACCTACGCGTGGATATAAAGAATTTCAAAAACGGAGCTCGTATGAGAAAGTTACGGAATTTAGAAGATAATTAATTTTTGGATTAAACCTCGAAGTGTCACGTGGAAAGATCTGGGCCAGTACTTCCTCCACACGGCTTTGCACGAGATGGCGACATGTGGCATGAGTACGCCCAGCGTACTGTTGTTTTAGCCATTACGCCCCGCGTAATTTTGAGTACACCCAACATACTGGGCACTGGTCATCCTATAAACAGAGCTCGTTTTTCACACATTTATCCACACTTCTTCAACCCATTCTCTCTCAAACACCCCCAAGCCCTCTAAGCCCTTCCCTAGCACCTCCTAAGTGTTAGAAACGAGTCACAGAGAGCCAAAAAGCCCCGAGAAGAAGAGCCTTGGGCTCAAAAGTTCTGCCCGCGTAGAGCCCTGTTCCTCACTAAACCCCCTTGTAAGTGAGTTATGCTTACTCTACTTTAAGTATAAATTATGTTTAAGTTCATTATCATTATTATGAACCAATAACAAGATTTATCAGTGATCAATGAAATATACTTTGGACATATCATACTTAAACCCTCAGCCTAGCATATTACCAAACCATTAGGCCAAAGTGATTAATGAAATATACTTTGGACATATTGCTTTCTAGATTTTACTACTATATGTTTTATTATTATTATTATTGTTATTATTATTATTTTATATCAAAAGAGATATACCATTTACTTGAGTTTTTAACCATAATAGAGTGATTGGAAAAAATATTTACTATTTTAGTATTCTTTCAAAAATATTTACCAAAATGGTATTACTTTAATTTAAAAACTAATATTATTGTTTAAAAAAAACACGGTTCTTTGATTACCTAGAAGGCTCGAACAGGAAAAAAAATCCTAAACGCAAAATAGGCCTCCACCATCGTTCTGTCATTGTCGCACGTCCACCAGCGCCGGCCACCTGTGGCCTCCTCCATCATTCGTCGACGACCTACAACCTCCTCCACCCTTCGCTTCATTCAAGGTATGCAAAGCTGTTATCGATTTTGATTCCTCCTGCTCGTTTTCTGTTTAATTTTTTGCTTCTCTATTATCGAATTGTTGCTTCTAGATTCCGATTCTTCAGTTTTCTGTTTACTTTTTTCTTCTCTATTTTGCTTTTCTCGATTCTGCTTTTCGTTAGGACGAATTGTTGATCAATTTTCTCTTTTTTTTTTTTGTAGATGGAGTTATCACAGTTTGTTTTTTTAATCTTTAAGTCAACAACAATTTGAACTTGCAAAACTTTCATGGTGTTATGTTGTTGGCAAGAATGTGAATCTTGAATCATGGGATTCAACAGAAACGATTTGGGTTTGAGGCCAAAGTTAGAGTTTAGAAAACAGATTCGGGTAAATTTGTTGAAGATGTTAAAGAAGATGAAGCGGCTAAAAGGGCTCCAAATATGAGGTCACAGATGAACATATTATGGGGGAGGATGTTTTATGTCTTTATGAATGATCAGTTATGGAATATAATATTGGGATGATCTTTTGTTTATTTTTTTGTTTATTATTATTATTTTTTTGTAGATGATCACAGTTTGTTTTTTTGTTAATGAATCTTTTGTTTTTTTTTTGTTTTTGTTTTTTTTTAGTTTTTGTTTTTTTTGTTAATGAATCTTTTGTTTTTTTTTGTTTTTGTTTTTTTGTTAATGATTACAGTTTGTTTTTTTGTTAATCTTTTTGTAGATGGAATTGATTGCAAACATGTCATTATTTTTTTCTTTTTTCTTGTTAGCACAAATTTGTATGATCATTTTTTGATTAATTTTTGCTTGTTTTTGTTTGTTTTGTAGATGAATTCGATAATAGACATGATTGACAATGAGAATTTTTCTATAATCTTTCAAGCTGCTGTTGTGACTAATGTGATGAATATAGACAATGAAGTTGAGTTAAGTGAAATATTGGAAGATGGAATTGGAGATAAAGATGAGAAGGAAGCATCTTTTGACAATAATGTTGAAGTACCTTCAACTTTTACTAATATGGAAGGAACCAATTTGACTATTGATGGCAATTGGATTGTGACACAATCAACGAGTAAGAATGATTTTACGCGAGAGTTGGGAAAGGATTCTTTCAAGGATAAAGAGGAACTTGTTAGAGCAATCAAGATCCATAGCATTAGGACACATAAACAATTTGAGGTCATTGAGTCACGTCCAACTATTTGGACTCTAAGATGCAAGTTGTACTTACAATCTGGTTGCAAATGGAACATGTGTTTGGAAACTGGGAAGAGTCTTATGTCGCTTTACCAAAATATCCAGGTGCACTTCAAAAGTTCAATCCAGGAACTATAGTTGAATGGTGTGTTTCAAGATCGACCGATGTGAATGAAGTTGAATTTAGGCGTGTTTTTTGGGCTTTTGCTCCCTCTATCAAAGGGTTTCACTATTGTCGGCCGGTGATTAGCATTGATGGCACACACTTGTATGGTAAATACAAGGGTAAGATGCTGATTGCAATGGGAGTTGATGGTAATAATCAAATTTAGCCACTTGCATTTGCTATTGTAGAAAATGAATCTTATGATACTTGGGATTGGTTTCTTTCTTCATGTCAAGACTCATGTGGTGAAAGACCGTGAAGGCATATGTCTAATATCTTATCATCATGGTGGAATTCTTAAGGCTGTCAATGAGCATGGATCTCTATGGTTAGAGCCACGTGGTTTTCATAGGTATTGTTATATTTCTTAAGTATTCTTTTATGACATTTCAATAACTTCCTTCATTTACTTACATTATTTTATCAACAACTTTTTAAAGGTATTGTTTACGACATTTCATCAACAACTTTTATGACAAGTTTCGTGATTCAGAATTGAAAGCTTTAACTTATCGTGCCGGGAGTCAGAATCAAATTTGAAAGTTCAACTCCATCATGGAAGAAATTGGGAAGTTAAATCCACGTGCTCGACAATGGTTGGAGAGTCATCCACTTAATAGATGGACACTTGCACATGATGGTGGAAGGAGATATGGGTTGCTCACAACAATTTTGTCAGAGATTTTCAATAGTGTACTTAAAGGTGCTCGTTTTTTACCAATCACAGCTTGTGTGTAACTTACATTCTATAGAATGGTGCATTATTTTGAGGTGAGACATCCTTTAGGATCTAGTTCTCATGCTAATGGAGATGCACATACTCCACATGTTGTTGTAAAACAAGTAGCTTTGATGGCAAAAGCAAGTGCACAATCCTTAAGATCTTTTAACCGAGAAAAATGTATATTTGAGTTGATAACTCAAAGAGTTCGAAATGTGCAAGTAGTTAATTTGGAACAAAAAACTTGCACATGTGGTAAATGGGAGGCATTTAAATATCTTTGTTCTCATGTCTTGAGTGCATGTGTCAAACTCTCTTTGAATAGTTGACAATATGTTAATAAATGTTACTCGATTGAATACTATTGTGCTACTTGGGCATCTGAGTTCTCCCCGCTTCCTCATGAAGCGTATTGGCCACAATCACCATTTAATGAATTACTTCCAAATTTAGAACTATTACGAAATAAAAAAGGTCGTCCTCGTTCAACAAGACTAAAAAATGTTATGAATATTAAAGAATGAAGAAATGCCAATCTTTGTGGAATTTGTAGGCAATCGGGGCATAATCGAAAATGATGTCCGTCTTTGCCATGGTAGTTTAAAAAAAAATATTTTTATGGTATTTATTGTGATTATTCTCTTATTTATTTTTTATTTTTTTTTACAGGTAAGGATTTGTTACCGGTTCAAGTTCAAGTTAATTGTGATGTTCTTCTTTTTGTAATAAACAATGGTGGAGTTTTTTTGTGGTGTTTTTTATTTTGTAACAAACAATGTTGAGTTTTTTTTTTACCTTAAAAACATTGTATGGGAATGTTAAAGTTTTTGCACCTTAAAATATATTGTATTTTTAATTTATGATGGCTAAAATTGATGGTCAAAGGGTTGTATAAGAAAAACGGATATTAAAAAAAACAGAAAAAAAAAGATAAAAAAAAACAGTAAAAAAACTAAAATAAAAGTTATCGTTTAAAACAATATATAAAAAAAACAGTAAAAATATGGAATAAAAAAGAAAAAGAAAAAATAAGATATTTAAAATTAAAAAAAAAAAATCTGAAAAGTAAGAAGAAAAATGAAAAAAAATACGATTTTGGTAAATATTTTTAAAAAAACACTAAAATTGTAAATATTATTTTTGAACAACCCTGTAATGGTAAAAAAAACTCCCATTTACATTGAATCGCGGTAGGAATATTAGTACTGTACATTAATTGTAATTTTATTTTGGGCCATTTTCTATTCATTTGTAATTTGTCCATATAGCTTAGCCCAAAGTATTGTTGTATTTATTGTACCCATACAATCAACTTTTGAAAATAAGTGTGTGGTAATATTAATAAGGGACACATTATTACTTACACGAAGGCAAATAAAAAGATCATTTGATTTTCAATAAAAATTTACAATTGCAAAAATACAATATTCATCATCACACTCTTAAACTATTCATTTTCCATCAAACAAGACTTAAACCCTTCAAAATTATTTACTAATTAAATACAAATGTATAATGGTGACCCAAGAAACATGGTCCTCGAAATTTAATATAGATGTCGCTGCTTTTCCATATATAAGTTCGATTTTTTTTTTTCTTAATTGGCAGCGCTGCAGATAGTCCTTATCACCCCGTTCGCACCTGTACGGGGATCAATTTCTCCCATCCTAACCATGGCTGCTGCAAAATCAGATGCAAACCTTGAAGGGCTGTTGCTGTACTCTAATACGATGCTATCACTTGAGCCTCCATTAAAGAGCACCTGATCCGATTGAAGAAGACCTCTCCTCTGTACTAGATTTC